CCTACCCCTTACATGGGGTGCGAGTTATGGCGCACCCTGTATTTAAACCAAAAGTAGCTTTAAAAATGTCAAAACGTTACATGGGGAAAGTGGAACTATAATTAAATGATCAATATTTCTTGTGTATAGCCTTTTGTTTACAATAATTATGTATTAATTGTCAGTTTTGTCACACATAATTAAACGCAGCTTTCTATCCTGAAATGATTAAAATTGAATAAAGTTAAACTTTATCAAAGGACAAACTAGTAATCTTGTCTGCCTACTTAAATAACTGTACCATTCAAGCAAAGACGGAAGTTTAAAACAAATGAGGTAAAAGTTAACTGTCTGAGGGGCCCACCACTCATTTTTTCTACTACTTTCATTGTTATATCAATTTTTAATTGTGGGTTTAAACAATCCAGAAGCGTCTAGATACAACAATGCAATTTGTTGAGAATAGGAGTTTCATATAATTATGTTACGTAAGTCAGCTTTGAAGTGTAGCAATATAATGGGGGCGCATGTGGTGGTGCTTTACCTTTGTCGTGTTGTGGTGTCCCAATTGGGTGGTCGTAGTCTTCGTCCTTGTACTTAATCTTTTTAGGACAATCACTAGATGTAGTACATGTCCTTTTACCCATGTTAAAACAACCATCTGTGTCCGAGGAGTCACCTTCGAAAAAGCCACTTTCTTTGGTTTTTTTATGGGAACGCATTTTGCTTGTTTTCCGACTTATTACACCAAGTACATATTTAAATAAAAAATTGAGTTATTTCCCGAAACGAGTTGGAAACTTTTCCGCAAAACTAGGTCGTAACAGTAAATTCGATTCACATGTACCGTTTCACAGGGAACTCTTTAAACTTGCAGAAAATATCACTATCACAAACTTTGGACAGTTTGTCAGGTTAGGTTTCGAACTTCACTGGAAATTCACTTTGTCCGGGTTGGTTTTGGCTTGTTGCGTGCTAGGAAGAAGGTTTCAAGCGTAATTAACTGAWWATGAGGTAGMAAATAATTGAGAAATTCAAAAATACAACTTAATACAACCGACAAACGCGTCTACAAAGTAACTGATTTTAGACAGTTGTCGATTCCATGTTGTTTCCATATCCCTACCAATCAGAATTGCGGAACACACATCTAGCAACAGCCGATTTGCCACGAACACACTTCGGGGGTTTTCGGAGCACGTTTTCGGAATCAACAATTCCGACTTTTGCCATGTTTTGTTGTTGTTGATAACAACATGCCTAATCGGTTATAATTACTGATAAAATCTGTTTACTGTTGTGGTTCCCACAAAGGACAATGCTGCTCTAATCTGTAGTTTTGGACKAAAATAGACACAAACAAGGGAAGTTTCAAATTCAAAACACCACGTCCTTAAAAGGGCTTTATTTTTGTCAAGTTGGTATTTGATAAATTTCGATTTTGAATAGCGCAACTACTTAAAAATAACCGCAAACTTGTGATCTTGTTTATTTCCAATACGCCTTATTTCGTGAACCAATTTGTTTTTGTTTTTCGTTTTATGTGAATTATCTATTTCGAAAATATTTCTGTTTACTTGAACCGCACAATTTATTTATTACAATCTCTAGGTGCGAAATTAACTAAATTTAAATTTTATGCAATTAAATGTGTTACTCAATACATATTTATTACATATACCAGAGATATTCAGTTTTCCCCTACTTATAAAAACATCAATTATTATAAAAAAATATTATAAAATTACATAATCCATAAAAAGATACAAACTTAGTAAATTGAACAGAAAGGATTATTAGGTTATTATTAATAAAATTTCATCATGCTATTTTGAAAACTATGTCTTATGCAACCAAATATACACGCCGGATCAATATTCCGGCGCAAGACGTGGGAAATATAAAAATAAAACAACAAAAGCTGCTGAATGACGTCCATAACGAGTGCTTACGTTGTTAAAATGTTATAAAACGGCGAGTTAGATAAAATACATCTAAATGCTTAAAAATACTGTATTTTTTTGCCAGTACTTGAGGGAAATGGGGTTTTGTGCCCCAGAAAAAACATTAAAGTTTATTATTCATTAAAAAAAATAATAACACTAATAATACACTTTCAGTTTGTACTTTGCCTTTCCAAAAAAATCCAAAWCACTTATAAACAGTTRAAAAATTTCGAAATGTYCAATAATACAGTTTTATTTAAGTGTCTTAAACATATTTAGATTGAGTACATATGATTAGGCGATATTTGCATTATCATTTCCTAATTCATTTCATAATTATGTCGGAATTCCCTGTATTTTATATACTCATGCATCCATTTCCTGAATAGAATGAAAGATTCCGATAAATATACTATAAAAAATCCCAGTTGATAAGCAAATAGATATTTGTTAATTAATCGTTTAAACTAAATTTAAATTTAAAATCTGCTTAATGAAGTGTCAAAATGCACAAAATTTGACTATTACAATTACAATTCATTTTCTTATCTTATTTTTTGTGTTCTGAATTTTATAGTAAAATCAAAAAACAAGAACAGGAAATATCAAACAAATATCATCTTTAATGTCAATTGTAGAAAGACATAATAGTATATTATTCAAAGAGCATACATATAATGACGGCTATTATCCACGAAGTGAAGTTTAAAAAACGAGTCGTAGACGATAAATAAGAAAAGAATAAATAAAAAACACAATTGAATAGAATTTGTAAAAATACTAACAGCTTTAAACTTGTGTTAATTATTTCTTATAAGTGTCAAAATAAATAAATTAGCTCGCATATACKGGGTAAACAAAAAGTAGGAAACCAAGCCTGTTTTTTAAAACCTTTGCCTTCACATTTAAAAATAATAAAACCCAGAACATAATTATGTAAAAAACATTTTTTCATTAACACTCTACAGGATGTTTTGTAATTAATTAAGATACCAGAAACTTACTTAAAAAAATGGTTTTAAAAATTCTGTCGAAAATTTTGACCATAATTTTTTTTTTCAACAGAAATAAATAAAGTGCAAATTTTAAACTCTCATAACTTCCAAATTTTTATAAATAAAATTTCATTAACATTTTTTTAATGTTCCTGGTATCTTATTTTACTTGTCTTTTTTATTCCTATAGAAACAACATTGCAAATATTTTAGAATAAATGACTATTTATACACTATGTCCATAAATGATTGAAGGATCAAGTTGGCATTGAAATAATGTCAAACTTTGAATGTGCCGCTTTATAACGGGTGTTTTTTTTATTTTGCGTTGTGAACGAACCATCGTAAAATTAATCTGACATTTGAGTCCTTGTCGGGCGTATTAAAAATTATGGTCCGTTCACAACACATTCATATCACTGCCAACTATGACGCCAAATTTAAAAAATAAACAGCTGTTATAGTAATTTTGTAATAATAAACAATGCATAGCCTTCTCAAAATAAAGTTAAGTTTAGAAAAATGAACAAACAGGACACTTATTTTCGGAGAAAGGAAGTAATTAATAATAATTTGTGTTATAAAAAATTCGATCGTATTTTGAGAATGAAATTTTGTTTTGTTTTAAAGTTATGCGATTTTTTTTCAAAATGGCAACTTATACAGACTGGATTATAAGCCATAACTTCATTATTTTTAAAGATATTCCAATAGTTTTTAATCAAAATTGAACATTTTCTTGTTATCAGTCGTTTGCTTGTCTTAGATAAAATAAATAAAAAATGTTCTATTTTTTCCACAGCCTACTTTATTAAATTTTCAGATTGCCTGAAAGCAATAATTATTGAAAAATAATAATGACAGTAAGCTTGTTGAAAAACAGTTTAACAAAAAATCCAAAAATAATAAAATATACAGGGTGTTACATTAAAAAAATTGAAATTGATGTCACTTCCGGGGAAACAAGAAGCAGCATTGATTGAGCATCTTACCCAAATATAAATGACAATAAACTATTCATCTTTTTTCTAAAAAGTATTATAAAATAATGGAGTTATAGCTTGAGTCGTATTTCCTAATACAGGATGGTCCAAAAGTCTGGAAATAATTTTATTCTGGCGAAACTATCAATTTTTTGTCAAACAAAAAAAAAATTTGAATATTAATTAATTGTTTATTATTACGAGATAAACATAGTAACGTACCACCCCATGGCCGGTGGAGAAAAGTTTTGACAACAGATAAAGTTTATAATTTTTTTTAACAWAAATTGTAACATTTTCAATAAATATTTTTGTACATTTATAAAATGCGTAAACATATCTTTGTAAAACAATAAAAAACCCGTTTTTATTTAAGAAAAAAATGATTAGTATGATAATCACAAAAGTTTAAACAATTAATTAAAATA